CTAAGTGAAGCATCCCAAGAATGGAAAAACAAGCATCACATATACTCACCATCAAATTGGTTTTAACGGATCAACACTTAAGTGCACATACAGCAATAACATTCATCGTTGTCAGGCAGATGGGAGAGGGGAGGAGGGGGTGGGTATATGCACACATAATGAGTGCCGTGCGCACTGTCTGGGGGATGGACACACTTGAAGCTCTGACTCGGGTGGGGCAAGGGCGATATACATAACCTAAACATTTGTACCCCCGTAATATGCTGAAATAAAAAAGAAAAAAGAAAGAAAAGATTAAACAGCTACACTAGCATATAAACAAACATTTGTTTCTGCATCTTAAGTTCATGACTAAATTTAACTATTTAGTGGCTGTCATAAAAGTGAAGATATAATTTTAGAAAACCATTCTGTTTCTTTTTTTCTCCTTATTTTCATTCAGCCATGTGTGTACTGACATTGATGTGTTATATATTTATTCTGGATCTATTCCAAAAGCTAACTTGAAGTAGCTTACAAGATATATGTGATATTAAGGAAATTATATTTTAATGAGGGGTAGGCAATTGGGGAAAAAGAAAATAAAAGGTAAGAAAATGAAAATGAAGCCTATAATTATAATACAAATGCCTGGAGATCTAGGAGACTTACTTGAAGTGGAATCCACGTTTGATTCTGAAGTTTCTAACAAATTTAGAAAGGAATCCTAGTCATTTTTATGTTTCAATATGACTACAAAATTTTAAAAACTATTACCTTTATGCAAGAGAAGCCCAGATATCTCTGCTCCTGGAGCCAGCCATTTATCTCATGAAAAGGATACTCTGTTATGAAATGTATTTCATAGGGCTTAAGAATAGGTACATAAAATCCTTCATTAAATGTGTGTTATATAGATTATGGTCTTTCTTGGACACTTCTTTTTCCATCAACTTCCACGGAGATCCAATCCACTACCAGGTCCTACTGATTTTACCAACTGTACTGTAAAATTGGTATGTTTTTCCTCTTACGCTCCTCTTCCAACTCAATGTAATGTAACATCTTCTTTATACTAGACTGCCTCAATAGGCTCATAAAAGGCTTCTTTGCAGTCTATCCTCTCTATTAGAATGAAAACGATTTTTAATGCAAATTTTAACATAATTACTTTTCTGCTTAAAATATTCCAATAGCTTCCCATCACAATTGGGATGTAGAGTGAATATCTCAACAGAGTCCATGTGGCCTTTCATGGCTGTCTCTTGTCTGCATCTTACATCAATAAACCCTTTGCTCTCTAAGCATCAGCACTACTGGCCTTTGATTAGTTCTTCAAACACATTATAATTCTCCATACAAGAGGACTTGGATATCTTCTTTCCTCCCCTGCTCAATCTAGGTAACTCTTTCCCTTCCTTCACATTCCACCTAACATATCATTTCCTTTGACCCTTTAGACCATATCACAGTGCCCATTATATGCCATCATATCACTTCTTGGCACATGCATACTTTGTAATTTTCACACTTATTTTCTAATGATGTAACTAATATCTGCCAGGTCCTATAGAATGTAAGATCCAGAAGATTAGGAATAGTGTCTTTTTTTCTAATTACTGCATCCCAGAAACCTAAAATAGTACTTGAAACATTGTAAGTTATCTATAAATATCAATTGAATGACTGGATGGGTGATTGTATCCAATGATGACTTTCAGAATTTCCCAAAAATGCTAAATCACTCACAAGTATCCTAACAGAATTTGAGCTTATTTACCCAGATAAAGACCTCAAGGTCAAATTTTTGTTGTTCTCAATTAAATTCAAGCCCATAAGCTTTTCATAATGCTCCTTTTGCACAAATTGAGGAGATTGAGGAGGATACAAACCTGACTAAAAATCATCCCAGTTCTTGCTAGATTTGAACTGACATTTTCCCTGCAAAACAATTTTGAAAACATTTCTATTCATTTTGAAAGCCCCTAATTCACCTTACTCTTTACTGCTTCCTACTCTTATCCATTCAACAGCAATTGCACTAAGGTTCTGGGGAAGTTAGGCCAAGGTTTGACATCGAGGAAATGTATTCCCACCTCCATTCCCAATTTTGTGCATTCAGAGAGAAGACAATAGGTGGTAGTTTGTGCAAAAGAGTAATCATAATCTAATATGTAAGGCAAATTATATTAAAAGCTGGAGCAAAAATTAAAGGTAAAATTTCCCTAAGATCTATTACCCACAGCTGTGTCAAGGCAAGGCAAGGCTGAAAGCTTCAGCCAGTAATGAAATAGTCAGCCTATTCTTGATTCAGAGAGTTCTTTACTTACTTAAATAGTGAAAGCAAGAGTAGGCAAAGGTGCCAGATCCCCATGACCTTTGTGCAGGGTGGCACCAAAACAAAAGGGGTCAGATGACTGCATCATGGATGGTAGGACACCTTGTTGCTTAGAAGCTGATTTCATACTGCCACTATGTGGTTTCATGGCCTGTAAGTCTACCCTGAAAGGGGTCAGGTCACAAGCCTTATATCTCATCAGAATCCAGGAGACAATGAAGAACTGTCTGGTGACAGTCTCTCAGGGAGATAGGGAAGCAAGTGCGGAATGTTCTTGTATCAGCTCTTCACGTGTCTCCATGCTCTTATGTTGTGGGAGGATCACAGGACTTTCTGCCAAGACTTTTATCAGCCTCAGTTACACCCTGTGTATGTGGCCTCTGTGGAATCACACAAGGTTGCCAGGGTGCCATGGTCTGGTCACTTCCCTACAAACTAGTAAGTGGAATCTCCTCCAAATCCATAGACTCTTTACCATTGTAATCTGTTTAGACTGCTAAACATATTACATTGAATATTAATAT